CAAAATAAAGGTTATGATAAAATTTGTAAAAAATGAAAAGATTAGAAATTGCTGCTGCAATTTTTCCTTAAAAAATTTTAAAATTACTAACATACAGTAATTAAAAAAAAAACCGCTTCAATTTTGAGCCGGCTTTCTTTTAGGGCTCGCTTTGCTCTAAAAGTTATCGAAAAGGCCCACTTGACGCGTGAATTGGAAAAACAAAAATAATTATTAGTTTATTTATCGCTGAGTTGAAGGGGTTTTTAAGGGGCGAACGGCGATGCGTTTCGATCGGGAAATTCGGTCGCCGCCAGTTCTTCAGTAACTTCATTCTCATCTCCTCTAAGTCGCTATCTGCTTCCACCATTCCCTTCAATCATTATGCGTGTATGTGAGTGAGTACTTGTTTGTGTGTGAAATTCTATACGCTCTCGTCGAATCGACCACTGTTCTCTCTCGTTGGCTTGAACATGTTAAGCAGTGCATGTTCACGGCTTATTAATTTAATTTGTTTGGTTTCCAATTTGATTTGTACCTTTGTTGTTGTTTTGTATTTGTTGTACACCTTTCTATTTTTTAGTTCGTCTATTGTTATAATTTGCGAAGGGTGCCTTGAATAAAGCGACTCTGGGTTTATAGTATCATTAGGAATGCTTGGAATTATTTTATTTTATTTTTGTGTTATAGTAGGGAGAGTGCGTTTTGTTTGGGTTTGGGGGCGGTGCGATGTTTTGCTTGAAACCCAAAGTTTAGGTACTGCTGAAAGATGAATAGAAATAGGAAGAAGAACAGAAAGATGCACATCGTCCACGTTTTATGTTGCTTGAAGAGAAGAACAGTATTAATAATGGTACTCTCAGTACCAATAGATGGAACTCAGCAATGCATTTTTTATTGATCTATTGATATCCGCCGGATCAGGATAAACACTACTAATTTCTGTTTTTTATGGCAGCCAAAAAAAAATGGTTATCCGCTTTAGTTTGAAAATCACATTCATTGATATTGAAGACTTGCATTCTAAAAAGGCTTTAATGAAGTTACTTCTGTTTTATGATTATGTCTATTCATTTCAAGAGGTTACATCTAAGATGGGAACATCTAGAGTAAAACTTTCAAGTGTACGCATACTCGTTGAATTTGAAAAATCTAATTTTTAATTGTACAACTTAGAGCAGAGCACTAAGATCACTTCCACATATCAACATTGTACTTCATCGTATTGATTTATTCTGTTTCTTATTTTCAGCCTGGTTTAAAACTCTATCACAACTAATGCAACCAATCATCATTGTTACCTAGTTGTATAAGGGGGTTTAAATCTGGTGTAGCCTGCTACATATACAGGTCCTCTTTTCTCATGGGATGATATTCAAAATTGTGGGCATAAAATATCAGTTCTTTTCGTTCACTTTCTAGACTTTGATATCTTTAGGCTACTTTCTTTCTCAACTTTGCCGGTCCCCTCTTAGGGAAGCTATTTTGCTTAAAAAAATCTTAGGACATGGACTAATATCTCTAATATCAAGCTAGTAATGGCACTTATATTTTTGTGCACCATTTGCTTCAGGAGTCTAGTTTTTGACAATCAACTAAGGTGTTTTTGTGGGTTGTCTTCCAGCATCTTGTAAAGTTAAAAATTGTGTGCTTTCTTTTACTTGTATGCATTTCTTGATATGCTGGTGTTGAGGGAGTGGGATGCTAACCAAGATGGTTGCTCTTAGACGAGACATAATGTGAGAGACCTGCAAGACAACCTGAAGCACCAAATTTACGCATTTGCTAAATTGATTATCCTTTCTTGTCGCTGAATTTCTTGGTCCTCTATTCTCTTTCGGCGGTGATCTCGGTGACATCTTAACATGGGGATGTATTAAATGCTTTAATAGGATGAATTCTTTATATTCGTCTGCAAGAAGATAATAAAAGCAATTGGACATTTAGACTGCTCTAATAAAACTGTCCAACTGGCATACATTGGCTATCCCCGTTGTTGGAAAACAGCTTATGCAGCTTTCTCATCATAGTGCCGAATATTTTTACTATTTCTTAATATCTATTAATTGAAATACCGTAGTTTCATTTCTGTGGTTTATCATCTGTTTAAAAAGTGCTGCTTCAGAAAAGTTGCTTTTTGTGAATATCTTTTTATGTCAATTTGAGTTCTCATTGCTCCATTGCATATTGTTATTTAACATACAAATCTATTGAAATCACTGTTTGACATACTAAGTAAATCCCCCACATTTTCACTTTTTCTTTACTGCAGGAGAGTTCTTGGGTTGAAAGTAGGTAAATAAGATTCGTTGAGCAGCAACATATATATAATTCTTCCTTCTGCTAGCTATTGTGCATGACATGGATGACGGCGGGGATCGAGAGAACAGAAGACATAGGATGGATTATTACAAAGTACCTCCGGTAATAAACTAATATGAATCTTCTAATCTCCAGTTTAATCTTTCTCCATGATCATCTTTGAGTTGATTTCTGACAAGTTCTTCCTGTATACTACTGTTGCAGTGGAACATGATATCCCCATTCCAGGCAAAAGAACTAAATGCTTTAAATGTCAATCCCAGGATCACCATGCTCTGTAATGAAAGGGATGCTGCCATCGAGGAGCGTGATAGAGCCCTGGCTGAAAAGAAAACAGCCTTAAATGAACGAGATGCTGCAATTCAGCAGCGAGATGCAGTAATTGTTGAGCGAGACAATGCCCTAAGAGAACGTGACAATGCCATTGCTGCCCTCCAATTTCAGGATGCTTTATTGAATGGTGGTGCACGTGGATTGAAGCGCAATGTCCAATCTGCCCATAGTTTGAGGGATGCGATTGAAGCCTTTCCGATATCTACCATTCCATCCGAGGTTGCAAATTCATGCGAAGTGAAACCAACGAAAGAAATCAAGGGGCCTCCATCGAAGTCAACGAAATCACCACGGAAGTCGAAGAGGGTAAGCAAGGACTTGAATAGACATGTCACTACTGATGGATCGAAGGCTGAGTGGGACGCACAGGATTTTGGTATTATGAACCAGTTAATACAATTTGATGAATCTAGCATGCCAGTACCTGTTTGTTCATGCACCGGAGTAGCTCGACACTGTTACAAGTGGGGTAATGGTGGCTGGCAGTCATCTTGTTGCACCAACTCCCTCTCAGTATACCCCCTGCCGCAGATGCCGAACAAGCGGCATGCTAGGATGGGTGGCCGGAAAATGAGTTCAGGTGTTTTTAGCAGATTGCTTACTAGACTGGCGGCAGAAGGGCAAGACTTGTCGGTTCCACTAGATTTGAAGGACTACTGGGCTAAACATGGAACAAATCGTTACATTACCATCAAATAACTTTAAAATGAAGTCCTTGAATATGGTAATGCTTTTCCCTTTTAGTGCATTTGGCACCTGAGTTTTCCAATATCTGTAAGTACCATTTTAGAAGGAAGGAAGGAAGGAAGGAAGTTGGACTCCACTTGTTAGTTCGTAGAGACTCTAAATTTGTTTAGTGTTCATATTTCCTATTTAGTGCTCATTGCAATCAGATTAAGAATTGACGTGGTTCGTTGTCTTTCAGCATGGCCTAATCCCACCCCTTCGACCAAGCAGGGTAGTGGGGCTTGTGTGGGACTTGTCCAATGTTGCAAGTTGCAGTGTTCCTTGTCATAAATTGGTGAAATATGTTTGATAGAATAGTTTTAACAAGCGACTTGATCCGTGAAACTGGTATTCAATTTTATTTCAAAAAAGGGAGGTGAAATAAAGCAACGGACTAAAAATCAATCTAATCGATGGCGGCAAAAGATTTTGAACCTACTACTCAGACTCAGAGCTAATGCTACTAAATTTATTCTTAGATGACATGATAAAGAAACTAGATCATAGCTAAACATAAAGTCAGGATGGCCGAGTGGTCTAAGGCGCCAGACTCAAGTTCTGGTCTTCGTAAGAGGGCGTGGGTTCAAATCCCACTTCTGACATTTTCGACAAATATTTTTTTAATCTCATTTTGAAGCTTTTACTGCTGCCAAGCGCCAACTTCTGCTTTTCATTTTCAGTGGCTAACTTGAATGGACCCAGTAGCTCCAGCAATTTCCACTAAAAGCAACACATTTCGGTCTATGTTTGTGAACTGGCTTATAAGCACAAGTTACTCCTAAATTTGGCTTATGTTTATAAACTATTTAAAAATCCAAGTTACTTTTTATCTATATTTTGAAGAACTCATTTTTATCTGTTTATAATTTAAATTGTTTATAAACATTTTTCAAACATGCATAATCACTTATTTTATTCATTTTTATAGTAGAAAAGGCATCGAAACATAGGCAAATTCTTGAATGATAAGACTTTTCTACAGCTTCATTTTAGTAGAGTTTTCACCTTTTGGGATCGGACCTTGCACGATAATATTGCCTCAAGAGAGTCCACTACACACTACAACGACCATGCCATAAAAAACATAAGAGTGAGAACGAGAAAGAAAATGAAAGGTAGGTGGTCATACGTCGTGTTCGTTTAGTAGTGCTTTTTTAACTGATTATAAGTCTACCGGAAAATAGTCTGGCAGCTCATGCTCTGTCTTGAGCTCAGATGGCTAAAGCCTAAATGCTTGTGCAAGGTTGCCAAGGCCAAGTGGCCAACTATGACCTGTATTTTCAATATGATAAATGGCAGTATTCAAAAGATATTGATACTTGCATGGACCCACAAATTTCAGTTTCTGTTCTTCATGAGAACAGAAAACTTGATAGATTCTGAGTTTGAGCCCCTTGTATAACAGGCAATTCACAGTTTCAAGAACACCGATAGGCTACAAATAGTTCTATTCCATCAGCTACCATTCAAATATTAAATAAAGTTAAACTGTATTAATAACCACCAAAATTGTTGTATCAGGTTTTGACACTCAATACTTCAAAATTTCTCCAGAAAATAGTAAAGAACAATGTGTAAAATCATCTCAAAAAGGCCTAAAACCAGATAAGTAGGCATTAGTGTGTTTCAAAATAAGATAACTAAGTAGATAAATTGATTTCTTGCACCTCCTCTTGATTTCTAATCCCTTGAACCCAGCCTCCATCAATGGATTCCATATTTCCACTCAATCCATCATCAAGAAAATCACCAACCCTTTTCACCTTGCCCCTTGGTTCGACAGGGTACTTCCCGGAAAAGCAAGCATAACAGAAGTTTGGCGAATCATTGCCCAGTAACTTCTTTAAGCTATTGATTGACAAAAAAGCAAGTGAATCCGAGCCAATGAACTCTCTAATCTCCTCTACATTCATCCTATTCGATATCAACTCCTCTGAGCTAGGCGTGTCTACTCCATAATAACAAGACCCTATGATCGGAGGGCTTGCGATCCTCATGTGAACCTCTTTCGCTCCGGCCTCTTTTATTAACCGGACAATCTTTGAAGAAGTGGTTCCTCTCACAATCGAATCATCCACCACCACAACCCTCTTTCCCTCCAATACCGCCCTCACGGGTGAAAGTTTAAGCTTCACTCCAAAATCCCGAATCTTTTGTGAAGGCTCGATAAATGTTCTCCCAACATAATGTGACCTTATCAACCCTTGTTGAAATGCCACCCCGGCTTTCGAAGCATAACCAAGTGCAGCAACAACCCCCGAGTCAGGCACCGGAATCACAACATCACAATCCACCGGAGACTCAGTAGCCAATATTTCACCGAATGCATGCCTAGATTCATACACAGACCTCCCGAATACCACAGAATTCGGCAAAGAAAAGTAAATATGCTCGAAAATACACGATTTAGGCTCAGGATGAGACATCAAACAAAGGGAACTAACCCCTTCTTTATCCACCACAAGAACTTCACCAGGATAAACCTCTCTCTCATATGTAGCTTCAATTAAGTCCAAAGCACAAGTCTCAGAAGCAAAAACCACTGCACCATTACTCCTCCTACCCATAACCAAAGGCCTAAAGCCAAAAGGGTCCCTAATTGCAACGAGTTTATCCTCAGTCAAAAACACCATAGAATAAGCTCCCTCAAGCTTATTACAAGCCTCTACAATCCTCAAAAAGAATGGTCTGGCCTTCGATATTGCAATCAAATGAAGAACCACCTCAGTATCTGAACTAGTATTGAAAATCGACCCACTTTCTTCAAGCTCCGCCCTTAAATCCTGGTAATTCACCAAATTCCCATTGTGGGCAACTCCAACAGACCCGAATTTATAACCCGCAACAAAAGGTTGCACATTCTTGAGCATCGAGGATCCTGCAGTAGAGTACCTAACATGGCCTATTGCCATATCACCAGGCAATTGATCCAATTTCGATTCATTAAACACATCAGACACAAGCCCTACCCCCGTAATCGAATGAAGCACGTTATCGTGAACCGACACAATTCCGGCACCCTCCTGGCCGCGGTGTTGGAGTGCATGAAGGGCTAAATAGCAAAGACGTGAGGCCTCAGGGTCGCCGTAGATTCCCACCACTCCGCACTCTTCCCGTGGTTTGTCGTCATCATCATCCTCCAAATTGTTGTCTGGGTTTTTTGATTCTTTGTACGAGGAAATAACCTCAGATATGGGGTTTTTGGAGAGGGTGATATGGCTCTGTTTGTAGGATTCTGGCAGGATTTTAGGCACCAAACAGTTTAATGGTTTGGTTAATTGTCGAGAGGAAGATAAAAAGGAGAGCTTGGCAACAGTGGATTTCACGGCGGTGGAAGAAGTAGCAGCTGCGGCGGCGGCCATGGGAAGTAGAGGCAACGACTTAAGGTGTTGAATTGGGTTGAATGGACTACGAATAGCCGAACTAGCTGGACTAGGTTTTGGGGGTTTTATACGAGAAAGTACCATGTGGCTGTGAGATTGGCAATCTCACCTCAAAATCTGATTGGTCCGTACTGATTCTAGGGATAAAATCTAGTGAATATAGCTTCTTGGAAATCTGACTTTATTAGAAATTTGTAACCTCTATTATTTTATAATTAATTGCACTTTTTGGCAAAATCCTTGACCGACTATCTTCGTTTGAGTATATAAATTATTGGATTTTAAAATTTGATTGTGACAAAAACTATGATTATCTATAATATATTAAATATCGTATCAAGCGATAATTATTTTTTGGACGATTTTAGCTCTACTACAATTTAATTATTTTAATAGTACCATATCTTTCATTTTTCAATATATATTTAATTGAATATTAATTATTAAACATGCACGCAAATAAATAATTGAATTGTATGAGAACAATCAAATTGATTCATGAACATTGAATTTAATTAATTTGAATCAGTGAATATAGAAAAAGAATAATGTATACATTTAGACAAAGGGGGTGTAAATGAACCTACATAAAATTTAATTAATTTGAATTGAAAGATATAGAAAAATAATAATTTATATACATTTGAACAAATGGGGTGTACATGAACCAACATGGAATTTAATTAATTTGAATCAATGAATATAGAAAAAGAATAATTTACATACATTTAAACAAATGGTGTTATATCATAAATTAAATGAGTGTACATGAATTTGAATAATTTATCTACTACTATGATAATTGAATAGCTCACAAATTATATGATCTTTAATAATTTATATATTCCTAGAATAATTTATGATAAAATGAATAATTTTGAAAATAAATACTTGTTCATGAACTTGAATAATTTATTTACTCCTAAAATAATTGAATAGCTCCCGAAACATGTGTATATGAACTTGATGACTTAATGTTACATTTAATATATTTATAAATAAATGTTAATTAGTATACATGCACATACATAAATAATTGATTTGTAGTATTTATAGAATAATTGAACAACTCCCAAAATATATAAAATGTACATACATGAACTCGAAGAATTAAAACATTTAGCTGTGACTAGTTTCAACTATCATTTTTATAGCGTTTATAAAACATTTCAAAATAGCGTGCAACGCACGTTTAACTGTGACTAGTTTCAACTAAAATGGGGATAAAATTAACCATTCATTGCCTCTAGTTTATAAATAATTCAAATCAATTATAAATAACTCTCAGACATGCTTTAAGTAAATAGCATCCATTAAGGTCTCAAAATCGACATTAACCCGAGGATTAAGTCAAATAGCACGATAGCCCAACTTTGTTTGGAACTTGCTATCATAGTTCGTTTACTCTTCGACTTTGAAGCCTTAATCCTGACCAGTAAGCTTGCTTGATGAAATAATCACAAAATTTACTTCCACGAAAATGATGACGTATGGGGTGTTCCGGTTGCTCCGGTCAATGGACGTTACCTGCAAAACGAGGTCGGGGCTTTTTCCCCCGTTGTACCTCCAGCGTGAGAATCAGTAGGTGCTTAAGGAAAGTAAGAAGAAAGTATATTGAGAGTTCAAGTAGTTCAGGTTCCAAGAGTCCATACCTTTCTCATCTTGGAGGTATTTATAGGCACCTGTTGCTAT